TAAGATATATAAGATAGAGAAAACAAATAATAGAAATAATAGAAATCATACCATCAAGTGCTTGTCAGATACACTGCCAGACATTAAGTCCAAAAAAGACTTAAGCCGAAACATGAGGTTGGGAAAACCCTTTCGTCTGCGTCTCTCTACATGAGTTTCATGACTGACTCTAATCATGTATGTGTGATCAGTGGTTTTGTACTGATAGTAGTGTGAGAATATTGCAAAATCTTTTATAGCATAAACCTTGCCTTCTTTTAACAGTTTAGAATACTATTGGACACAATCTTTTGGAATATTTCCATGAATATATGTGCCCTATCATGAAAGAAAAATGATTTTACTAACAATAAATATTTTTTTATTTTCAGTTGCAATATAAAAAGAGTTTACCTCACTGTCATGAAACAAACATTCTTGGCTTTTGATGCAGTTTGAATTGCGACCTTCTGGTACAGTATAGGTATACACCAACCTTAATCTTATTGCTTTTTTGTACGTAGATATCCCTATGTCTTTACCTTGAATGAAAAGTGGAGCCATTTGTAGATTTTTAAAATGAGTAAATATGAAAGAAAGTTGTATAAAACCTAGCTTTAAAGGGGGAATGGTGCTAGAGAAATGGTGAATTCGTACCCAGTATTTATAGAGGCAAATTCAGAAGATTTAAATCAATCGTGCTTGCATGTTTGCAGATACATTATGATTGTACATGGGAAGAAGAAACGACACATCTGAAAAGCTGAAAATAGATTTGAATTGATATATGTATATTATATGTATATATGTATATATCTATCCATATATTTGTATGCTTTATTAATAGTTGTATTTGTATGTATGTATATGTATGCTTTATTAATATTTGTATGCTTTGTGAGTAACATTTATATCATAGACAGTTAAACAGATTTCAAGAAAATTGGGACTCCAAAAGGGTTTCTCATTATAGCTTTAGTATTCAATTCAAATACAAACACATTTATTTATTAGATTCTATTAGCCAATAAATCTGAAAAATTGAACTGCAATGTTTACATAGCCAAAACGGCACAGTTTTGTTTGGGCGTGAAATTGAAGCCATGTGATTGGCTGAATTCTTATGGCTTTATTATATAGTAGGTTTTATTATTATTATTATTATTATTATTATTATTATTATTATTATTATTATTATTATTATTATTATTATTATTATTATTATTATTACTATTATTACTATTATTACTATTGAGTAAATACCACCTATGGTCCATCGAGTTTGGTGGCATCGCCATCAATGGTCCCTAACTTCCGTAATTACCATCCGTCATCCTCCGAGTTGTCAAAAGTTACCTTCTAGCGTCCTTCCGTTACTTCCTCCCATCTCAGCCGTCAAAATGGAGGGTAATATTGTCATTTGACTTATACGAAAAGAGTTAATACCAGCCAAGGTCCCTCGAGTTTGGTGGTTTGGCCATCTTTAGTCCCAAGTTTCCATATTCCATTATTTTCCTTCTTTCATATTCTCTTCTTCAAATGTATTATTATTACGTACTATTATAAAATTATTATTATTATTATTAAATTATTATTATTATTTTTATTGTTATTATTATATTATTAGCGTTAAATTATTATTATTATTATTATTATTATTATTATTATTATTATTATTATTATTATTATTATTATTATTATTATTATTATTATTATTATTGGTGGTTTGGCCATCTTTAGTCCCAAACATGGCCAAACAATATTAAAGAAAGTTGGTGGTTTCTCAACTTCCAACCCGAACTCCCTCTTCTCCTATACAATATTAAAGAAAATTTACAAATGTATAGGGGTCGTTTACTTCATTTATCTATTTTTCCATTTCCAGTTTTTCATTTATCCATTTATCCAGTTTTCTTTCTCCATTTTTTCAGTTTTCCTTCTCCATTTTTTCAGTTTTCCATTTTTTCATTCCTCCAGATTTTTATTTCTCTAATTTTCTGATTTTATTAAATACACTCATCTTATATAGAATTTGCACATTTCTACAACAACAACAACAACAACAATAATAATAATTTAATAATTTAATAATAATAATAATAACAATAAATAATAATAATAATAAGAAGAATTTAATAATAATAACAATAACAATAACAATAACAATAATAATAATAATAATAATAATAATAATAATAATAATAATAATAATAATAATAATAGCATTTGTACATTTCTACAACAACAAAAACAACAACAACAACAACAACAACAACAACAATAATAATAGTTATAATAATTTTAAAAAATAATAATAACAATAAATAATAATAATAATAATAATTTAATAATAACAATAACAATAATAATAATAATAATAATAATAATAATAATAATAATAATATGAATATGAATATTATAATTATAATAATAATAATAACAATAATAATAATCATAATAATTTAATGCTAATAATATAATAATAACAATAACAATAATAATAATAATTTAATAATAACAATAATAACTTTAAATAATAGTAATAATAATAAGAATTTAATAATAACTATAAATAATAGTAATAATAATACATTTGAAGAAGAGAATATGAAAGAATTAAAATAATGGAATATGGAAACTTGGGACTAAAGATGGCCAAACCACCAAACTCGAGGGACCTTGGCTGGTATTAACTCTTTTCGTATAAGTCAAATGATAATATTACCCTCCATTTTGACGGCTGAGACGGGAGGAAGTAACGGAAGGACGCTAGAAGGTAACTTTTGACAACTCGGAGGATGACGGATGGTAATTACGGAAGTTAGGGACCATTGATGGCGATACCACCAAACTGGAGGGACCATAGGTGGTATTTACTCTATTACTATTATTACTACTATTATTACTATTATTATTACTATTACTACTATTACTAATATTACTACTATTATTACTATTACTATTATTATTATTATTATTATTATTATTATTATTATTATTATTATTATTATTATTATTATTATTATTATTATTATTATTATTATTATTATTATTATTATTATACCCTTAGGTCATTTTACATGTTAATCTAAATAGCTAATTTTTTCAAATATCTTTTTACCAACCGTTAATATAATTCGCTAGTCAAATCCGCTAATATAATCCGCTAACGCTAACCGCTAATTGATGATCGTCAAACAAGGACATTGCGAGATAGTTATCACTTCAATTTGTTGTGTGATTTGAATACTCTATTTGTCAAAAAATCCCTCAAATAGTTAATATGATTGGCTTTATTAATTATATATTTTTTTTAATTTTTAATGGTATTAATAAAATACTTGGTAAATAAATATATAGCATTGTTTTGTATTATAACTTTGATATTTAATTAAAAGAACAGTGCACAAAAAAAGATAATAGACAATGTAGTGAATATAATAAATTGATGAATTTGAATGTAAAGAATTTTTACATTGGAGAAAAATAAAGACAATATAACTAATAAAATTACTTCTCTTAATTAATTTATTGATAATGAATACTTTTTTTTTTTAATAAAGACATTGTAGGGACATTGTAGCGAATATAATCAATTGATGAATTTTTTATTTTTTTAAAAAAAATGGCTTGGCCAATATATTAAGTCAAGAACTGAACGATAGAGTCAGAAGGGATGAAGTCCCAATACATAGAGTGATCCTGATCATAAGCTAATCTAGCTAGTGCATGCGCATGTAAATTAAGCGTTCTAGTAATAAAACTGAGCGAACAATAATCAAAACTACTGATAGCTGCCTTACATTGGTCTACCACGATCCCAACATAAGATAAATTCGGCGTAGATACCGAGCAAATGACATTCTTCAATACAAGACAATCCGTCAGAACATCCACCTCAACCTCGTTTCGGTTTTTAAGCCAGGACAAGACTTCTTTCCAGGCCAGTGCCTCCGCCATGAGTGGCGAAAAACATCACGGAAGCTTCCCGTTGGCCGCAGCTCTGAACATGCATCGTGATCGATCAATACAGCCCCGTACGTTGCCTGGCCGGATACCGGATCGTACCCAGCGTCGAAGTGGCATTTCGGCCGACTGGCCGCAACCGGCACCGCGACAGCGGGCGCTGCCCGAGATGCGCAAGCATGGACTGCCGTGTAGCTTGCCTCCGACAAGACAGCGCGATTCCAGACCACTACCGGCCTCCTCAATGCCCCCTCCCACACGGCTTCGTTTCTTGCCGCCCACAAGTAGTAGAGGAGTGCTACAAGATGCCGGACCTGTTCGCCTGTGAGTATATCCATAGCAGCCATAAGCCAAGTTGCAAAAGAATGAGTAACAATATTCATAATGGGCAGCCCCGAAACATTCCACACAGCTCTAGAATAATCACATAATACTAATGAGTGCATAACATTCTCGTGTGTGAGGCCACACATTGTGCATGTTGGGTCCACATCAACTCTCTTTATAATCAAATTGGTTGTGGTAGGGAGTATATCACACACAGCTCTCCACAAAAAAGTTTTCCATTTGGGTGGGACTCTCATTTTCCATAATGCTACCCATTTATCAAATTCCCCAGTAGTATGTTGAAATTCCCCCATTAGGCGTCTATAGGCATCTTTAACAGTGTAAAGGCCATGTTGAAATTCCCCCATTAGGCGTCTATAGGCATCTTTAATAGTGTAAAGGCCCTTTGGGTCATTGAGCCAATACCATGTATCCTTATAATCTGGATTGATTGGTATCTTTAGAATACGATCCACATCACCCGGCTTGAACAGATCAGTCAAAATATGAGGATCCCACGTTTTAGTCTGCTGGTCCACCAGCCCTGCAACTACTGCATCTCGTAAAGCATCAGGCATTATTGTTTGAACAAGCGGACTAGGATTATCCTACAACCACGGGTGTCCCCAGATAAGAGTAGTCGCACCATTCCCGATTCTTCTCCGGACACCAGCACAAACTAGATCATGGGCAGCCATAATACTCCGCCAGCAAAAACTGGGATTATGTCATATCGTTGCATCAACAGAGGTTTTAGGGTAATACCGTGCTTTATACACCCTTGCTGCGAGGGATCCTGGATCAGTAAGAAAACACCACGCTTGTTTTCCCAGCATTGCAAGATTGAATGCCCGTAGATCCTTAAAACCCAAACCACCAAACTTTTTAGGGACACATAACTTGTCCCATGCCTTCCAATCAATTCGTTTGTCTGGGCCTTTCCCCCACCAATACCTGTTCATTGTTCTCTGTATAGATATGCAGACCGATTCGGGGAGCAAAAAAAACACTCATTGAAAAAGTTGGCATAGATTGGGCCACACTTTTCAAGAAAACTTTTTTACCAGCCTGCAATAGCAATTTCTTATTCCACGAAGTCACTCTCTGCCTGATTTTGTCCTCCACATATGAGAACACAACTCTTTTATTCCTCCCTATAAAAGAAGGTAGCCCCAGATATTTCCCAAAATTCCGCGCCTGATCCACGCCCAAACACGCCGCCACCTCCTCCCTCATAGCCTCCCCAGTATTTCTACTAAAACAAATATTTGATTTATGATAGTTCACCAACTGACCAGACAACTCCTCGTATCTTGCTAAACATTGTTTCACCACACTAGCCTCTTGAATATTTGCTTTAAAGAACAGCAAACTATCATCCGCAAAGAACAGATGTGAGATAGGAGGTGCCCCCCTAGCCACCCTGCACCTATGAATAGACCCTGCTATCAGCGCTTTCTGTAAAAGCATAGACAATCCTTCAACGCAAATAATGAATAAGAATGGAGGAAGCGGATCTCCCTGTCTGAGGCCCCTTGTTGGTTGAACACGGCCACCACTCACGCCATTTACCATAACATTATACGACACCGTGGTGACACATGTCATTATTAGCTTAATCCACCGTTCATCAAAACCCATAACCTCCATCATCCTTCTCAGGAACGGTCATTCCATTCTATCATATGCCTTTGCCATATCCAATTTAAGGGCTCCCCATCCTGTCAACCCACACTGCTTACGGTTCAGAAAGTGGCCCACCTCAGCCGCCACTAAAATGTTATCCGTTATAAGCCTACCAGGGATAAACGCACTCTGGGATTTCGAGATCAAATCACCCATAAATTGCTTCAACCTGTTAGCAATCATCTTCGCCATAACCCTATACAGCACATTCCCCAAGGCAATAGGCCTCATATCCGCCACAGTCTGGGGATCATTTTTCTTCGGGATCAAAACAATATTAGTGTCGTTTAAACCAGCAGGAAACTCACTTGTATGCAGACAGTTAACAACAAAGGAAGCCACATCTTCCCCTACTACATTCCAAAACTGCTGATAAATGCCTGGATTCATTCCATCCGGGCCTGGTGCCTTGTCAGGAAACATGGCAAACAAAGCAGTCTTGACCTCAGCCATATCATACGGGCGTAAAAGTGCATCATTCTGGTCATTTGTCACTCGGGGAATACATTTATCAAAAAGCGGGTCCTCACACACAGAATGACTAGTGGCAAAATCATATTGAAATAATTCAAGACAACAACATTCATATCTTGTCCCTCCACCTACACCCCCTCATCATTCTTTAATTTAACAACAAAGTTCTTTTTCTTTCTAGCAGAGGCATACCTGTGGTAGAACTTCGTGTTGGCATCAGCTCCACAAAGCCAATGTTGCTTCGCTCGCTGCCTCCAAAACACATCCTCCTGGGCCTCTAATTGAGAAATCTTATCATTCAAAAGCTAAAATTCAGTTAAAGTAGCCGGATCCCTCCTATCACGGATCTGTCCATGGTCCTTTCGCAGCTGCCGGATGCGTTCACCAAACTTATGGAATTGGTCTCCCCCCCCCCCCCCCCCCCAAATCGCATAAACCTATCCCCACAATGTTGCTGACAATTCAGCAACCCCTCTGCCCTCCCATCATGCCAGTCATTCTCCACCACCTCCCTACACCCCTCATCAAGCAGCTATGCCATCTCAAACCTGAAGGCCCTCGGGACCCTAACCCTCCGCCCGTTGTTTGCATTAATATCAAGAAACAAAGCTGAGTGGTCCGAATTACGAGTAAGAATATTCTCAACCTCGGCCCTTCCATTCACATCACACCAATCCATTGTTGCCAACACCCTATCCAACCTTTCCTCCAACCAGCGATCCGTACCACTGGCTTTCTCCCATGTATATCGATGCCCTCTCATAGGTAGCTGTCTTAGCCCGCACTCATCTACTACTTCGCTGAACCCACGGAGGAGGCTCTCCGGATGCGGGTTGTTCCCTCTTTTTTCATGCTGGAACAAGAAATCATTAAATCCCCTATTACAACCCAAGGAAGCTGGGACTTCCCAGACAGTGATTTAAGCAACTCCCACGAATCCTGTCTTTGGTTACGCTTCGAAAAACCATAGAAGCACGTCATACGCCACACTTCCCCTGCTGGCATTCGTACCTCAATATCCACGTGGTTCTTAGAATAGCTCAGGAGTGTAGCTCTATTATTCCTTCTCCAAAGCAACGCCAACCCCCCACCAGTCCCCACATTATCCACATAAAACAGCCCTTCATACCTTATCCATACGCGGAGCCTCTCCGCATGCACTCGCTCCACCATTGTCTCCATTAAAAACACAAAATTTGGCTTCTTATCGGACACAAGGCCCACAATCTCTCGAACTGTTCGTGGATTGCCCAAGCCACGACAGTTCCAAGTTATCGTACTCATAATGACGGGCGGGACTGGGTACCAGTTCCCGCCGCTCGTAAGTTTTTTGACACATCGGTCATAACCACATCCTCCGAACTCTCCCCCTCCACTCCACCCGACACCCACCGGCAGCGTTTGGAATTCGCCACCACCCCCTCCTCCCCCGGCTCTACCCCGTCCGCCACACTGCCCCTTCTCCCGTCTCCCTCATCCCGCCCCCCTGCTCCACCCACTGTGTAACACCCCGAAATTTAAAAACTTTTAAGACTTATAGGATAAAGGTAAATTCTCATTAAAAACATAACATAAGAGTACGGGGTGCTATGCCACACCTGAGCTAGAGGACTCAGGTGCACAGGCTAACTAACTAAAATCCACAATAATGTCAATACGTAAGCATGGCACGCAGGCCGAAAGGGAAACTATCTACTCTACGCTCCAAGTCTCTAGCGCGCTCCAGTGTCTACTCATCTGTGCCTGAAAGCCAAATATATCTGTTCAGCGAGAGATGCCGGTAACCCACTCCAACGCGTTGAAATACATTATATATATATATATATATATATATATATATGCGAAAACCATTTTGAAGCAGGAAGATATATACTTATGAGACACTAGTTTTAAAACCAAGAATAGACTCGACAGATAGGGATAAACACATTCAACAGTTATAATCAAGTATATAAGGATACTAGCATATATCCTATGGTCACAGATTCACTTTATCTCATTCATATCATCATTCCAATTCGTATCTCATCAAACACAAGCACACTTTGGTGGCGCCACAGGACCAATCGCATGCCCATACATGAGGGTCAGCGCATATATATAGCTCTGACACGGCCCCGCAGCACCCTGCCTCGTATCGCAATACGAAGGGGTAGACACATTTAAGCGCAATTGATGACACCATGTAGACAATTTAATGGATCAAAAGCAAGAATCATATAGCACATATCCTATCATGACTTCTAAACATAATCAACACCCGAACATGCGAAATCCCACCCAATTATATCAAGAATAACACAATACGAAATTCCCAATTTTAAACTAGGCCTCTAATCATATTCAAATCGATAAAATCATAGTTCCCCTTATAATTACCAAAACATCAAGATTCATCAAGAACATCACATAATCATCAAGAACCTCTTATCATCATCAAGATTATCAAGATCACACATAAAATCATCTCACAATCCTCAAGAACATATCATCAATATCATAAACGATTCATCAAGACACAAGTATAGAGAGGAGGCCAAAGAAGATAATTATAGCAAGGAAAATAGGTTTTGTTGAGACATGGGTTACCTCTTAGCCTTAATTAATTTCCTTGGCTACGAAGGTTCTTTCTTTAAGATTCCTTCTTTCTTGATTTCTCCTAGGGGATTTCTTGGAACTTCTTGTGTGGTGAGAGATTATTGTGGTGTGGGTTCTAAGTGCCTCCTAGGCCCCCTATATATATATATATATATATATATATATATATATATATATATATATATATATATATATATATATATATATATATATATATATATGTATGTATGTATATATATATATTTCCTTGGCTACAAAGGTTCTTTCTTTAAGATTCCTTCTTTCTTGATTTCTCCTAGGGGATTTCTTGGAACTTCTTGTGTGGTGAGAGATTATTGTGGTGTGGGTTCTAAGTGCCTCCTAGTCCCCCCCCCCCCCCCCCCCCCCCCTATATATATATATATATATATATATATATATATATATATATATATATATATATATATATATATATATATATATATATATATATATATATATATATATATATATATATATATATATTTATTTATTTATTTATTTATTTAAGAGTCCTAATTAGGGTACAAGTGGTATGGGTTTGCTAATTCTATTTCCTATAGGACTAGAGGATTGGTTTTTGGGATAAAGGCCCATGGACCATGGTGGACCTTTCTTAATTAATTACTGGAATTTAATTCTTTCTTTTAGGTAAATGATTAGATGATTAATTGGTTTTAGGGGTCGTAACACAGGGTGTTACACTCTCCCCCCCTTACAAGAGGCTTCGTCCCCGAAGCCGGTGTGTTAATCCATTCTTTCACCCCTGGACACCTTGTGTTTTTGGCCTCCTGGTTAGGAACGTGGCCCCACGTGTTGTCCTTGCTGGGGTAGACTAGATTTCTGGTGACGTGGTGATTGGAAAGTTCGCGTCTACCTTGGTTTCCTGCTCCGGAACTGGATGCCCCGCGAGTGCCCAGGATGGTCTCGATTGCTGCCACCCTCTGATCTAAAGCGCGTGTCGCGTGGATTAAGGACGAGAACCCTTCGTCCATGATTTGGTTTTGCCGAGTGAGCTGTGCTAGGATGCGCTCATTGACAGATTCTTCATTTTGTCCCCTTGGGCTTCCTCCTGTTCGTGCGGGTGCCGGTGGGTTAGGCTCGCTATCCTCTTCCTGTTCCTCACTTTCCTCTAGTCCCCCACAATCTTGCATTGCTCGTTTAAGTTTTTTGTTGGAGATGTCCAATCGGTCAACCAATTTTCTTCGCTCCTCGTCGGGTTTCAGGCAAATCTCTTCGAGGGTGATGTACTGTCCCCCTTCGGTGTAGTAGATATCATTGCGATGGAGGTTCTGGGCATTAAAAACCATGTCATTTGCGGTCTTGACCTCCGTGTGGCTCAGATTCACCCCCTTCTTCTCCATGATCCAACTTAGGATCATCCCGTAGGGTAGGCTAAGCCGGTTGCTAGTTTTGCAAAATTCCATGTGTTTCAACATGAGGGCCGGTAGGTTGAACTTGATTTTGTGTTTCAAGAGATAGGCGAAAGTGCACTCTAAACTCCCCACGTCCTTGCTTTTATTATTTGTGGGCAAAAGGCTGTCAGTCACAATCATAACCAATATCTTTTGCTCCACGGTTAGCCATTTCCTATTCGATCGTGTGGCCGAGGTAAACCCTTCCTCTTTTCCGAGTAGGTACCCGAGGTAGTCCTTGTACCCCGTATTTTGGGTATCAATCCACCCTTTCCGGTCATAGTTTGACACACCCGTGGTGGTCAATATCAAGAGTTTGGCCAAGCGGCCTTCGGAAAGTATGATTTCTTTGCCTTGGACCTTAGTGGTGATTTCTAGTTTATCACCTCGTTTGATGGCTACCAAATGTTGATAGAATTCCTTCACCAATTCGGGGTACGTATCCCCTTTAATGGTGAGGTATGTAGCCCTTGGTGATTAAGCATATCGACCAATTCCGGAGAGAATTGATCGAGTTCGAGGATTTTACCTTCGATCACGGTGTAATCGGCGTTGCTCCATTTCGGGGTGCAGATTCCGAGGGATTTTTTTGGCATTTTGGGTTTTCGTCTAGGTGGTGTTTTCCGGCGAGTCTCCGGCGAGGCCTCGGTGAAAGTTTCTGGCGATGGGGCGGTGCTCTTGCTGGGTTTGGACGGCGAGGGGGGGGGGGGGGGGGGGCGTCGTGCGGCGGCGGTTGGCTATGCTGTCGGCGTCGTGTAGCAGCGGGTTGCGGCCGGGTGCGGTGTGGGCGAGCTGCGGGTGGCTGCCGGCTGTGGTGGTGGCGTGTGAATGGGGTGCCGCCGGTTGGTTGTGTTGGCGGGGCGTAGCGTCGGTCGTGGGCGGCGGATGGTGGTGCGACGGTGGGTTGTGGAGGTGAGGGTGGTGATGGCGGCTTAGGAGGGAAGGGGAGAGAGAGTTTGGGTGATTGGGAGAAGAAGAAGAAGGGTTTTTGATTTGGGGGTTTTTGAGAATTTTTAGGGATTGCAAGGGCTTTAAGAAGGGAGTGTTCCCTTAAGGTTTTAAGAAATACTCATGGCGTAGTGGTTAAGTGCGTGGGCTTACAAATTGGAGGTCTTGAGTTCAATTCCCCTTGAAGACATTAGTCTTCCTTATTGTGTATTCCTTGTCTTTTTCCTTCTTTCGTCTTCTAGTGGTAGAAGATTTGGTTTTGTCTCCTTTTGTTGTTGACGTGCATAATCTAGTCTTTTTCCCTTATGCTAAAATAAATTTTGATTTAGCTCTTTATTTATAATAACTCCGAAATAGCTAATCTAAGCAAGTAATTCTACTACGAGGGTGGTTACAAGGGATTTGCCAGTTATCCTAAACAGAATTCATCTCCTTGGTTTTCTTCTGGTGGGTTGGCGTGGTCCTCGTCCCCTGGAGCCATGTCTCCTTCCTCGAGGTTGCTTTCGTTCTCGAGTTCGGCCTGGGTGCGGCTTATGATGAACACCTTTCCGGGGGCACCGTAGTTTCCTTGATGATTCGTGCCCCCGTGTTGGCCCATGGTTGTGGGGCGTGATTTCTGGGGTTGAGTGCACTGGAAGGCCTTGTGCCCTTCTTCCCCGCAGTTGAAGCATCGCCAGGGGTTGCCCATGCAATCTTTGCCTCTATGGTTTTTGTTGCATTTTGGGCAAGGGAAGCTCCTTGCGTTAGTTTCATTGTTTCCTAGGGGTGGCCTCTGGCCGACTGGATTGCTTGGCCTTTTGTTGGCGTCGTTTCTCGTTCTTTTTATAGGTGGTGCTCCACCTCCTGTGTTCCTTTTTCGAATTTGTTCCTGGACCCCACGTTGCAGTAATTGGATCCGATAGAGATTTGCGGCACTGGAGTAAGCCTCGTTGAGGGTCCGGGGTCTGCTTACTACTAGTGCTTTTCGGGCTTCGAAGTTGAGACCCGATACAAACCTTTCTATTTTGGTTGGCTCAGTGGGGACTAGTTCTGGTGCGAAGCGTGCTAGTTCGAGGAATCGTTTATGGTATTCCATGACGGTGGTCGTTCCTTGTTTCAAGTGGAGGAACTCTTCGTGCATGGATGCTTTTACGTGTGTTGGATAGAATCGTTCTCGTAGTCGTGTTTTGAGGTTTTCCCAGTTGAACCCTGGTTCCTGCCTGTAAGTGGGCCCCTCGTGGATCCACCAAAGGTCTGCATCGTGTCCGAAATAGGATGAGGCTATCTCTACACGACGTTCCTCTGGGCATTCTACCAATCCTAGAATCTTGTCGAAGGTCCGGATCCATTCTTCAAGGATCACGGGATCTTCTTCCCCTGAGAACGTGGGTGGTCGATGACGTGAAACTTGTCGGGCGACTTCCAAGTTCGTGTTTGACGGAGGTAGTGGGAGTCTGTTGTTGCGGAGAGCTACGTCGCTTAGTGTTTGGGCGACTTGTGTTAGTTGCTGTAGAGTTTGAGTCAGGGGGTCGTGTGTGGTGGGTTCCGGAGTCCTTGATTGTCTTCTGTTTGGCGCCATGCTGCTGTTTTACTGGGCCAATCTTTATAGTAATGTTGAGTTAGAGTTTTGTACCCTTACCTTGGTGCGATAAGCGGAGGGGAAGTTCTTTTAATCTAAACAAGAGTGAGGGGAAATATGCGATGGTGGGTATACTCACAATCTCACCACGCGTCTTAAGTCTCCTAAGTCCTATGTACTTAAATACCTAGAGTTCAAGCCTAATGTCTTAAAGTCCGATCTTCGAGGTCTTATCCTAGGGTCAAACTTAGGCTCTGATACCAACTGTAATACCCCAAAATTTTAAAACTTTTAAGATTTATAGGATAAAGGTAAATTCTCATTAAAAACATAACATAAGAGTACGGGGTGCTATGCCACACCTGAGCTAGAGGACACAGGTGCACAGGCTAACTAACTAAAATCCACAATAATGTCAATACGTAAGCATGACACGCAGGTCGAAAGGGAAACTATCTACTCTATGCTCCAAGTCTCTAGCGCGCTCCAGTGTCTACTCATCTGTGCCTGAAAGCCAAATATATCTGTTCAGCGAGAGATGCCAGTAACCCACTCCAACGCGTTGAAATACATTATATATATATATATATATATATACGAAAACCATTTTGAAGCAGGAAGATATATACTTAAGAGACACTAGTTTTAAAACCAAGAATAGACTCGATAGATAGGGATAAGCACATTCAACAGTTATAATCAAGTATATAAGGATACTAGCATATATCCTATGGTCACTGATTCACTTTATCTCATTCATATCATCATTCCAATTCGTATCTCATCACACACAAGCACACTTTGGTGGCGCCACAGGACCAATCGCATGCCCATACATGAGGGTCAGCGCATATAGCTCTGACACGGCCCCGCAGCACCCTGCCTCATATCGCAATACGAAGGGGTCGATCGCAACCGACCGATGAACCGCAGCTCATCATAATGTTTGATCGCAACCAAACAGTGGACCGCAGCCCAAGAGTAGTCATCTGACCGCAGCCAGGAATATGAACCGCAGCTCATGTAAAACGTTTGATCGCAACCAAACGGTGGACCGCAGCCCGAGAGTGTAATTCTGACCGCAGCCAGCTTCTGAACCGCAGCTCAGGAATAACCAATTTGATCGCAACCAAATTGGGGTATCATGCACACATAACACATAGCAAGCACATGCAACCCATATTAACACATTGGGAAAGGGGAGAAAACGTATAATGAAACCTGTGCGTGGTCATCCACATACTAGGAATAATCCTAAGGGGTTCATACTTCTTCCACCTCGGCCAACGGGATACCAATTCACTAGCATGCGATATATAAGACTCACTTATCCTACGAACGGTACCCGAAACATCAAACTAGACTTAGGCACGATAAACGGAGTCCGTTGGGACACCACGAGGGTCGGGAAAAAATCAAACGGGGAAGCCGGAGTCCCGAGGTGGACAATTTTCAGCGGGTAGCCGGTGGGTGGAAGACCACCCGTCGGCTGCCCGTCGGCAACCAGTCTCCGGGCAGTGGGTGCCCGGCGGGCAGTCGCCTGCCCGCTACCGACAACGCCCTTCTCGGGCAGCGGGTAGGTGGCGGGTCCCCCTACCCCCCACTGACTCTTTATCAAAATAAACGTCCCGAGAACCGTTGTGGAACCCGAAACCATGCTTAGACACTTTTTAACGCAATTGATGACACCACGTAGACAATTTAACGGATCAAAAGCAAGAATCATATAGCACATATCCTATCATGACTTCAAAACATAATCAACACCCGAACATGCGAAATACCACCCAATTATATCAAGAATAACACAATACGAAATTCCCAATTTTAACCTAGGCCTCTAATCATATTCAAATCGATAAAATCATAGTTCCCCTTTTAATTACCAAAACATCAAGATTCATCAAGAACATCACATAATCATCAAGAACCTCTTATCATCATCAATATTATCAAGATCACACATAAAATCATCTCACAATCCTCAAGAACATATCATCAATATCATAAACGATTCATCAAGACACAAGTATAGAGAGGAGGCCAAAGAAGATAATTATAGCAAGGAAAATAGGTTTTGTTGAGACATGGGTTACCTCTTAGCCTTAATTAATTTCCTTGGCTATGAAGGGTCTTTCTTTAAGATTCCTTCTTTCTTGATTTCTCCGAGGGGATTTCTTGGAACTTCTTGTGTGGTGAGAGATTATTGTGGTGTGGGTTCTAAGTGCCTCCTAGGCCCCCTATATATATATATATATATATATATATATATATATATATATAAGAGCCCTAATTAGGGTCCAAGTGGTATGGGTTTGCTAATTCTATTTCCTATAGGACTAGGGGATTGGTTTTTGGGTTAAGGGCTAATGGACCATGGTGGACCTTTCTTAATTAATTACTGGAATTTAATTCTTTCTTTTGGGTAAATGATTAGATGATTAATTGGTTTTAGGGGTCGTAACACGGGGTGTTACACACTGCCACACCACCCCTCACCTCCCTCACCAACGACTTCGGCTTTCCCCCAACTGGCACCAGTCAATTCTCCCCCACCGCCCTCAACGCACCCCGATTGTCCCCAGCCCGCAACCCCACAAAAGGGTGCAACTCCACCGGCATCAGATTCTCTCGTGCCTTCAAACAAAACATATGGACGTGGCCCATCATGCCACAAAAAGAACAGTGCTTGTGTAATCGTTCATACCGAAAGGTTATCCAACACACCGTCTTATCTCGCTTTACCAATTTCATACCACGCCGTAGCGGTTTACCAACCGCAATAGACACCCGGACTCGGTAGAACGTGAGCCATGGGGCTCCCGTAAACTTCTCATCATGCTTCACAAACGTTCCTATGAAATTCCCGGCCTGCTCCAGCACCGTGTCAGACGTATACCCCATAGGCAATCCATGCAACTGAACCCACATATCAACCGAGTTCAACTCCACCTCCCCAGGCACGGCTCCCGCCACCACCTCTCGGCAGACCAAGGTATTTTTTTCGAAACCCCATGGTCCCCCTTCTAAGACATAATCAACGTCTGTCTTATGATAGAAGACAAACAAAAATAGCCCCGGTTGAATCTCCGTAACCTGTACACCTCTCACCGGCTGCCATACGGACGTCATTACTTGCTTCATGAACTCTAACTTGACCAATTTGGTCGTTAGAAAACGTCCTACAACCGTCCAGGTCTCCTCATCATCATCATTAAGCACGCCGACACCCTCTCCTTCCGGCACGAACTCGTCGTTCTCATCCTCCAAATCCAAATCGCCCCACCTCTCCATCAGCCTTTCCACCTCGCTGCCTGCCTCTGCCACCGCCATGTCGTTCGAACACAGCTGTCGCTGCCGAAGCCAATGAACCGTCGACGTAAACCGCCAAAGAAAACCACCGGAAGACGTCGAAACCCTAGCTTTACCCTAGAGAAGAAATCGGAACCCTAGTCGTCGCTAGAGAGAGAGCTAATTAGTTAATAATACTCAATTGATGAATTTGAATGTAAAGAATTTTTATATTGGAGAAAAATAAAGACAATATAATTAATGAAATTATTTCTCTTATTTAATTTATTGATAATGGATAATTTTTAGTGAATTAGGGATACTTTTTGTTATTTTTATTTTGTACTGCTAACTTTTTTATTATTTCATTTATTAGTATTAATCATATTATTGTTATTTTGTTTTTAATAATAGTATAGATTAGATTATTACATAAGAATTGTATTACGCTATTTTATAATATTAGAATAGAAATTTTAACCTAGAAGTATAGTACGAATAGGAAAGTAGAAAACAATATATTTTATTAGAAAGCGAGACATTTTAGGAATTGGGCGCGAAGTTAAAGTTCAGGATTTTATTTTTATATATAGTATAGATTAGAATAGGAATTTTAACGTAGAATTATATACGAATAGAAAAGTAGAAAACAATATATTTTATTAGAAAGCGAGATTTTTTAGGAATTAGGCGGGAAGTTAAAGTTTAGGATTTTGTTTTTATACATAGTATAGATTATTAGTATTAATCATATTATTATTGTTATTATGATTTGGTTTTTAATAATAGTATAGATTAGATTATTACATAGGAATTATATTACACTATTTTATAATATTAGAATAAGAATTTTAACCTAAAAAAAATTATAGTACGAATAGGAAAGTAGAAAACAATATAATTTATTAGAAAGCGAGATTTTTAGGAATTGGGCAGGAAGTTAAAGGTTCAGAACTTTGTTTTTATATATAGTATAAATAGTATAGATGGTATAGATTAGAATAGGAATTTTAACCTAGAATTATAGTACGAATAGAAAAGTAGAAAACAATATATTTTATTAGTAAGCGAGATTTTTTAAGAATTGGGCGGGAAGTTAAAGATTTAGGATTTTGTTTTTATATATAGTATGGATATGGATGGTATAGATTAGAATATGAATTTTAACATAGAATTATAGTACGAATAGAAAAGTAGAAAACAATATATTTTATTAGTAAGCGAGATTTTTTAGGAATTGGGCGGGAAGTTAAAGTTCAAGATTTTGTTTTTATATTAGTATAGATAGATAAGAGTAAAATAGAGTACTAATTATGCCAACTTTGATTGGGATGGGGTTCGAACCTAAGACCTTTCTTATTGAAATCAATGAGTAAGTTAAAGGTGAACTAACAGAAATTAACGGAAAAGATAATATTTAACGGAAAAGTTAACGGATAATCATATTCATTAAGGATAAATTAAGAAATCTTAAGGAAAAATTAAAATCTGATCCATCTGAGCCATTCATTTGATTAAAAAATTTGACTGCCATTTTCTCTACCCATTATAGGACTAACTCTCTTGGGCTCTTATTAGTATAGTTGATATAGAAGAGAGCTCATGTGTGGTCATGTCATTAGGTGTGGCGGTGTGGTCGTATCTGTGTCGTTGGATCAGTTTAATCTAACGGCAGTGGCTAATTACTGAGGATTTGAGGTTTTTAACGCGTTTTGGTAAGTGGGGGTATTATGGTAATTACAGTGGCCATTTATAGCGGCCGGGTTCCAGAAATACACCAACAGTGTTGACAACATGCACCAATAGTGTAATAAAACACACCACAGGGAAACACACCAATGGTGTATTCCTGAACACTGTATAGTGTATTTATAACGCTGTCAATCTCGTCATCAAGCCTTCTTTCAAACCACTCATACCTTCTCTGCTTAGAGCCTAATAGATCCACCACAGTAAAACTCTACAAAAATAAAATACCATTAGGCATTAATTATACAATTAATTAATAATTCATGCTATTTTATGGACTTAGGTGCATGAAACTATGCCTTAAGGTGCGTTGTTTTAAAGCATAAGGTGAGTTAAAATAAATCTAAAAAGCCTTGCAGGAACAAGTTGAAAATTACAAAAGCAAGACCTTAAGTGTTTAAAGATAGGCCTTAAGGTGCGTGAAAATATACCTTAAGGTGCGTTGTTTTAACGTTTAAGGTGAGTTAAAATAAATCTAAAAAGCCTTGCAGTAACAAGTTGAAAATTACAACAACAAATCATTAGGTGCGTGAAGATAGGGCTTAAGGTGCGTGAAACTATACCTTAAAGTACGTTGTTTTAGAGCTTAAGGTGAGTTAAAATAAATCTAAAAAGCCTTGCAGGAACAAGTTGGAAATTACAACAGGAATGCCTTAGGTGCGTGAAGATATGCCTTAAGGTGCGTGAAACTATATCTTAATGTGCGTTGCTTTAACACTTAATGTGTCTTAAAAAATGAATTACAACTAAGTATGTTGTAAAAAAGATTCTCACAGGAGAAGTTGTTTGTCTGTACTTCTCCATGTGATTTAAAATCACAGACTAGACATCCAGCACACCAGCACCCACATATTGATTCGACTTCAAGGACAGCAGCTGGTCCATGATCAACGATTTCTCCCCAAATTTAAAAACATTCTCAGTCCTACAATATTCATTTAAACGTGTAAAATAAAGTAATAAAATGTGCACTTAACAAGTACATTTAACATAAAACAGATAGGCACTTTAAGTAAAACTTGCACATCGAAATCCTTGCTTTCAAAAATCCAATGCTTACAACCCTCTCAGTCGCTATGAATTCTTGAGAAATATTCACTTGTCTTGATACAAACGGAGATTTGTTTGGTTCTGAAATTCCTATTGATCTACGTGTCACTTCTTTCTGTCCTTACACTTGAAGGGGTGGTGCTTGAGCTTTTGCACCCTTTTTGGATTCATATTTTTTAAGCTCTAGTGTCCTTGCTGGAGTCAAAAGGTTGCTTTTGTAGTGTGGCTACAGCTGTTGTGCTTGAGTCATCAGGATTTTACACCATGGCAGGCTGCTATTGTACTAGGGCTGTTGCTACTTTTACTACCTTCACATTTCAGGTTAATGTTGTGCTACAGCTTCACACTTGAACAAGGGCATGGGCAGCTACTTCAACTTCTGTTGCCTTGCTACTTTCAATATGATGTTGCATTTGGGCAGGTACTACAACTTCTGCAATAGAAACTTCATGTTCTTCAGCAACAACTTTCCCTTTCTCGTTCTTCTTTGCAGCAGTCTGTTAATCATCATTATCAGGACTGTCATGAGCAACAATGTCTATGATGTCATCCCAAGGACGAGGCCTAACCCCTGATGGAGTTGGAGTCAATCCAAGGATGAAACTTGGCATAACAGATACCTCCTTGCTATACTCTTGCCTCCTTGGTATAGTAAGGTCATTGGAAGCAAGATTCTTTGGATTTCCCCACCATGTGTCGTGGCTGCTCATTCCTTCAACATCTTCTTGTGAAAGAGATCGTTGCAGCACCTCTTTCCCAACACCAAGTATTATGTGAGCCACAGACTGCAAGGCCTTCATAAGTTCATTGTCTACAATCATTGGTGGTGCTTTTTCGACCAAATCAATGATCTTTAGCATGTTTCCACCAAACAATTGCAAACTCTCTATAAATTTAGAAATGTGTGCTTGTTTTCTAATCAAATTTAAAATATAGCTGGGCACATAGCTGAGGCTAGTGGCGAAGGGATTGCAATGGGAACCGATCCAGGAGTTGGAATGAGTTATGAGGGAGCACCAGTTACAGCTACCCCGTTGGGAGCACCACAGGGTTATATGAGTAGACCCCAAGGACCTACTTACAAGGACTTATACGCCATGATCAACAACCGTTTCGACAATCTGAGTGCCCACGTGAACTATGGATTTGCCAACTTTGATCAACGGGCAGTGGTCATGGAACAAAGAATGGGGATTGAGAATGTACAAAGATGGAATCCCTATGGGTGGGATCCAAGTTACATGCTGCCAGGTGGTTCATCGGGAGGCTTTGATTTAGGTAACCAGTTAAGCTTTTGAGTTCAGATAATAGTTTCGTTTGTATAGGTGTTTAGACTTTTGCTAGGTTAGGCGAAAACTCAGAGATTCCTAAACCTTCCAAAGTATCCCAACAGAAAATTCTCAACCTTTTGGTTATATCTACCTTACTCTTCGAGAACTTGATCCACTCGTTTCTTCTAAGTTTCGGGACGAAACTTCTTTTAAGGGGGATAGAGTGTAATAACCCAAAATTTTATTTTATAAAACCAATTTTAAGAAATTCCGAAAATAGCCATTTTCACTCCATTAAAAATTTTTGCGATCAATTGGTGTTTGAATAAATTATTTTAGTCACATTTTAAATTAATTCGACACTAAAACTTATTTTATTCCAAAATCCTAAATTTTCGGGTACTTCGCGTATCAAGTTTTAAATTGAGAAATAAATCTGAGTGAAACCGGGAGAATTCAAAAAGACTTTAAACAAGGGTTCATCTAGATAACTTTTTGAGAAAATTCATTTCCAACCCCAAAGTATTTAAAATAACATTTCTAGCCCTTGGTTCATGATGCTAGGTGAACCATATCATTCCAAGAAGCATTTGCCTGAGAACATAATCTAGCCAAGCTTTTACCATTTTGCCCTCACCCAATCATTTGCTTTCTACCTAGCGTCTTGCACCCTATATAAATAACACTATTCATTTGTGATTCTTTGATCTCCAACCTTGCCTCTCCCCAAGCTTTGTCTGATAGAAGCAAGAGAACATTGCAGTAAGCTTTCCCCTTCATTTCCATTCATCTTAAGGTTTCCTCTCCTCTTAGCTTTCAATCTCTGAGGTTTCTTAGTCTTGGCTTGTGTTTGAGATGTTTAGGTGGTGAAGGAGGTGGTGTTTGAGTAGAGAGGAGGTAGAGATCCATACAAGAAGAAGAAGCTTCAAGAGGTATAACCCCATGGACTCCCGGCCTCTTGATTTTTGGCTTTGTGAAGCCTTTGATACTGAGTAGAAATTATGAGATTTTGTTGTCTTTATACTTGGAAGTGATCTAGTAATTGTCTTTGAGTTGTTGAAAATGTTTTGAACTTGTTTGGATAGATTTTGCAGATGAAAATGCCATCTGGTACACAGTGTGCACTAGATCAGACCAGCAGCCCTAGCCGCGGCCCATCAGGAGGACTGCCAGCTAGAGCCGGGGTTACCCGAACCTAGGGCACGGCCCTAGGAGAGGGCCGCTGCCTAGGCCCGGCATAGTAATGGGATTCATGGGGCGGCTCATGAGGAGTCCTGCCCCAGGTCCCTGAGTATTAATCTGAGAAGTTTTTGTGTAGTGGTCGGGCCCTTGTGGCTCAGCTACGTGTCATTTCGGGCCAGGTGTCACGGGCCCTTGTGGCTCGGTACCTCGGGATTGTCTCGACGCACGTTTTGGCTTTGACTTCGTTGAATTTTGATAAAAAATGAGTATATTATGAGGGATTTATTGAAGAAATTGCTACACAATACATATATTGTTAAGTTCACTGTGAAGAAGAAATGTTTTGCCTATGTGATCTGATGATATTTTTGTATTGAGTAGAGAAGCATGATCATTTGAGAGTATGATTTGTTATGAAAGCCTGACTAAGATGTGATATTTGTTCAATGAGAATTGAAGCATATCTTGTTGATAGAAATGTATAGAATTTGCTATATTGCAAACCGAGTATGATATTATATCCTTGAGTATTTTATGGTTTATATACATGGTTTAGAAGCATGTTACAGAGTATTTTGCATCTTACATATGTCATATTTCAAAAATGCATAAGGGGCCAACGTGAGCCCAAGTATTATTTTCAAAAAGCCATAAGCATGTGGTATATCATTCTTTGATGTATTGAGAAGTAGTAGAGTTGTTGCATACATGAGATTGATGCATGAGAGAGATATTTATGTATCATCTAAATCGGTGAGGTTTTGGAGGATCCCGTTTGGACTATGTCCTCTCTGATGATTTTATGGACATTGCGGTCCCAGTATATGTAACGCGGCGTATTCCCACGTTACGAGGTTGGAAACTGCCCACCAGTCTTGGAATCCTAGTCAGGGGGTGTGCACACTAAAAGTTCGATACCTGATTCTACAGAGTATGAGTATAGAACGAAGATAGTGGTTCGGTGGACGAGTAGAGTATTAGGTCGGCTAGACGTCGTGCCCAGATAGGTTCATTCACACTATGATGAAGTTCCTACCTCGTTCATTTAAAGAGAAAGTATGAGTCATTGCGACTCCAAAGAGAAAGTATGAGTCATTGCGACTCCAAAGAGAAAGAAGTGAGTCATTGCGACTCTAAAGAAAGAAAGAAAGAAAGCAAGTCGTTTATGACTCAATGAGACCTCCACAGAAAGTACTCTATTTTTACAATGAGTGTATGAGTATATTTATAGTATTGCACGAGATTGCATATGAGTATAGTATTGCACGAGATTGTATATGAGTATATTTATAGTATTACACGAGATTGCATATGAGTATAGTATTGCACGAGATTGCATATGAGTATAGTATTGCACGAGATTGCATATGAGTATAGTATTGCACATGATTGCATATGAGTATGGTATTGCACAATTTTGCATTTGAGTAGAGTATCGCATGAGATTGCATAACGAGAATGTTGATTTAAGATTGTTTATCAAGTATGATTGTTTAGTTACATTTGAAGCCTTGTATATCGAGTTTATGTGATGAGAATTTGAGAGCATGAGAATACATGTTGTATGGTTTATTAGCATGATGCTACTTGTAAGCATGAGTTGCTTGTTAAGTTTATTGTGAAGTTTACATGTTGAAGTATCTAAGTTGTTAAGTCTTATCTATCGAAGCATGTCTGTTGATATTATAGGTTGCAAGCATCTAGAAAGTATGTGATAGATCTAAAGCTGTCTATGAGATGAGTTTGTTGTTTACGAGTGAAATCAAATGTTTTCAAAGTATACTCTATAGTACTTTATAGGGTTGAGTGTGGTTATACTTAGTTGCGTGCTAACAGATGTTTTCCTATTTGTCTATGTGTTGCTTGCAAAACCCCTTTCAGGTGAGCCCAGCAGTGAGAAGTGATCGAGTTAGATTAGTCTTGTACGTACCTTGAGATTGTCTAAACTCTTATGTTTTGTTAATGACCTTATTATCCAGATTTTAGACTTATGATGATTTGTAGACTTTGATGATGTAGACTTTTGGGGTGACTTTTTCCCCCATATGATTTTCAATATTTTTTATGGATGTTAGATATTTATTTTATTTCTAGTTCTACCCCCTAGCCTGTGCAATTACTACGGAGTGGTCGTTGTGGCGGCGACATTCCCACTAATTATCTTTTTAGCTATTAATTCCGCTACTTAGCTTATTATAATTGTGGTTTAGATTTATGATTAAGAGTTAGAAAAGTGGTGCGGTTGTGCGGTTTAATCTGGGTCATTCATCTCGCTTAAATCAACGTCCAGGATTATCAATTTTTTTTTAAAAAAAAACGTGGTGGCAATTTTGTAATTTTTGTATCTAGGTCAAAATTAAGGTGAGCGGTGTTGTGATTAATGTGCGTGAGTTTTGTATATAAGATGCATGAGTCTTGTGCGTGAGTTATGTGCTTAATGTGCGTGGGGTTGTGCTTAATGTGAGTAGTTGTTAAAACTTAAAGTGTGGACTTTTGTGCTTAATGTGTGTGAGATTTGTTCTTAATGTGAGTGAAGTTTGTGCTTAATGTGCGTAGGGTTTGTGCTTAATGTGTGTGAGGTTAGTGATTAATGCCAGTAGTTGTTGAAACTTGAGGTCTGTGAGTTAATACTTAAAGTGCGTGGGTTTTGTGCTTAATGTGCGTGGGTTTTTACTTAATGTGAGACATTTTAAAATCTTAAGTGTGTGAGTTTTGTGCTCAAAGTGCTTTGTTTTGTGCTTAATGTGCTTGAGTTTTGTACTTAAGGTGAGTGATTTGTGTATTTAAGATGCGCCATGTAAATGATTAAGGTGTGTGACTGCGTCCAACCACACGGGAAGCCATTCCCGCACCTGAACCCATCCCTACATATATATAAAATTGTAGAGAGTGAGTTTCGAACCTAAGACCTTGTTGGGATTTATTCATCAAACTTTCATCCATCACGCCTATACAAATTAGTCATTGTAGTATTCTCCTTGATGTACTTCTTTCTTGATTCGCTACATATATATATATATATATATATATATATATATATATATATATATATATATATATATATATATATATATATTTTAATCCCTTGATTCACTTTCCTAGCGGTTCCCAATTCCTAAATCTCAATTGGCAAGTATCATTGTTAATTAAGAATGACAATTCCCAATTCAAAATCTCAAATAACAATTAGCATTTTCGACCAGAATCTTCTACTACTTTGCAATTATCATTAGTTTTAGTTTTTAATTCAATTCTCAAATCTCAATAAGCAAATCCCAATTCTCAATTAGCAATTGATAGTTTAGCAGTTCCAATATTAATCTATTATTCTCTATAAAGCATGTTCTCCTTTTGCTCTCTTTGTAGTCAACACGGCTACACAGTACACTAAAGCAATTCCCAGTGCAGCACGCAAATGGCAAACGCAGCTCGGCAGATCGCACACGGTAGCTCAACTGATTCCTCAATTCTTCTTGATTACACAAACTCTCAAGTTCTTCAACTCTCTTAACAGGTAATTAAAATTACGTATTTTTCACAATTTATTGACATGAATTAATAATTCCGATTTCAGAATAATATATTCAAGAATTTGTTTCTTGATTAATTATTTATTCATAGAGTTTCTAAATAAATATTTTTTTTCTTTAGGATTTTATAATTATGTCTTCTAGAAAATATTCATAAGGGTCTAAGAAGCGTTAAAAAAAAATTGAACAATTAACTCAATCTCAAAAGGGGGCTCTTGAGAAATTCATTACAACAGAATTTTAGATGTATTTTTTATACAATATTTATATTTTGATACAACTTTTTGAACAATTATTATTTATATATAGAAATTAGTTTTTTTTTTTAAAAGGCCCCAAAGTAAGATATTACACAGGGCCCTAATTTTATCAGTCGTTATATCGTGGACCGCGGTGCACGTGCGCCACGGTCAAAACGGCGCCGTTTCTTTAAGTAAAGAAAAGGCGCACCGTTACTATTAACGGAGCGCGCATTTTTTGGTGTGTTAATTACCAACTGAAACTACAGTGTATCTAAACTAATAGTACAATGTATCTAAACCGACGTTGCCTCGCGTATTATTTTATATATTATCAAATGAAACTGCAGTTATATCAAAATGATACTGTAGTTGTGGTGAAATGAAACTTCAGTGTATATAAAATTAAACTGAAAAGCATTTCACATATTTTAGTGGATTTTGTTCAACGAAGCTGTAATTATATCGAAATGATCATGTAATTGTGTTTTAATGAAACTATAGTGTATATAAAATAAAATTAAATAGCATTTTCACATATTTGAGTTTATAAATATCGAATGAAACTGTAGTTGTGTTGAACTGACACTGCAGTATGTACAAAATGAAACTGAATAATAGAGTTATTTTTTGTGGAACGACGCAAAATGGGTGCCGTTTCTTTTCATTAAACTAAACGACGTCATTTTCAAACTCGGTGCATAATCGATTATGCACCCGGGTGCACGATATAATTTGTCAATTTTTATTGAAACAGCCCTGCTCCCACTTGCGTGACCCGAGCCAACTTGTGTCTTTGTACGAGAAAGGCACCACTTGTGTCTTTTACTTCATGTATGTATGGAAAGTAAAGGAGAAGAATCACAGAGAACACAATCCTTTGTAGAGAATGTAAGGACTTGAAATGTGTTGAACCATGTTTTTCTCAACAGTTTTTGCACATAGTTTTTGGAGAAATGTTTTGGCATAAAATTTTTGTGAAATTCCATTTGAACATACATGTTATGACGTTTTGCTTTACATGGAAGCTAATTGTGGAGACGTAACCTTCCCCTACATCAGATTTTAAGGAATGAGAAATTGGTGTTTTGAGACTTTACATAATTTTGTTGGACTTAGTATTACTAAACTAACTTCACAAAATGGTTGCTTTCAACTCAAGTTAACCTTATCATACGTTTAAGTTGATATGGTCGCTTTACTTGGATCACGAAATTGATACCAATTGGATATAGCTAGAATAAACATATATTGAGCCTTTTTGCTTTGTCATCTTTTTTATTACAAAATGGAATAGAAACTGATAGATTACAATTTCATTTCCGGAAATTACAAAAGTACGGTATACATCATGTTTTTTCGGAGCGAACCGGGTGGACCTGGACCGTTAAACGGACAGAGAAAGACCCGGACCACAGTGTGTGGTTTACACCGAAAGGGGAGACGCGCGTTTTTAATAAAACGACGTCGTTTTTGCATCCATATGCACCATGCATACGGATGCACATCATAATGCTGTTGCCGGGAATCGAACCGAAATTTTTATTTTTTAAGGGGAGACGCGCGTTTTTAATAAAACGACGTCGTTTTTGCATCCGTATGCACCATGCATGGTGCATACGGATGCACAGCATAACTACTCATTGAGGATGCCCTAATAATGTTTTCATTTTTGCAGCGCTGTCATGATTACTTACAGAGCATGCCTACTCCTAACCAAAGGTCAAGGGTTAGATCCTTAGTTTTGGGAATTGAGCATCTTTAAATCTCCAGGCCAGCTGTCTCATCTAAAAGAGGTGCATACAATCTAACGACGAGATTAGTCACTGTGTTTGATGGTGAAAATCCTGGATATACCAAATAAATAAATAAATAAACAGAGCATGCCTACTAATACATGCAAGTAAGACAGCCCATTCACTTTTACATCAGTTTACCCTAAACCTTTTGAGGATTTACAATGGCCGGACAGTTCATTCTTGCTTCCCAACTCACACTTGATTCCACTTCCAAAGTCATTCGTGTAATTTAGTTTATTCAGAAATGGTAACTCTACGGCCCAAGTTTATTCATATATTTATTTTTTAGTTTAGTAATTTTCGGAAATGAAATGTAATGTATAAATTAGTAATTTCCGGAAGTGAAAATTTAATGTTGAAATTTGTATTCGGCTTAGTTTTGAATTTTGAACAAACTACTAGAACCGAAAAAAAAAAATTCAGGTTCGATTTCCAGCAACAACATATGAACTAAAATTCCAGAATCGATGAATAGCATAATTTGCCATCCTCAATAGTGGTAGGATTTTGAAGAGATTTTGCAGGTATGATTTGAAAAGAGAAATGAGTGAAAAAAAAAAAAGAAAAAAAAATTAAATTAAAAACTGAAACCCCCCACACCAAAACCCCCCAAAATCCCCTAAATAACATAACAACCCCATCCCTCTCTCTCCTCTCTCTTCCAACTCATCATTTTTTTCTTAAAATCTGTGCAAAATTCCCCTATTGGAGATGGCCTTAGGATGATAAACATACACAATAGCTATGTATGAAAACGAAGAGACGGTATCATAATTACTGTCTCATAAATAAATATATAGACGAATGGGATTAAGTGTAGACCTAAGAATGGTTAGGAAAGAGAATGTAGGAGGGGGGAGAAAAAAGATATAAAAAAAAAAAAAACAAACAAAAAAACTTTTTTTTTTCTAAAAAGAAAATGAAACGGTAATGCATCAGGTGCGCCACTCGGGCACGTGCACTGCACGCGCCCGAGTGGCCTCTTGCGTTTTCTTCACGCGGAGACACCAAGGCTTTCTTTTTATTTTTATTTTAGTGTGGACCCCACAATTCTATCACCCTTTGCAGGAGAAATAACTCCACAAATAACTCCACCCACATTTCTAAATAACTCCATTCAAGTTTTTTTGACTAAAACCCCCAAATAACTTCTAATGTAGATGCTCTAACAAATAGGATAAGACCTAGTAGTAAATTGAATGATTACAACCTATTTAACTTGTTTAACTTCTACCAGGACTATGTGGTCTAATGGTACCCGGGTTGGACTTCCATTTGGAAGGTTGTAAGTTCGAGCCTCAATGGAGGCGTTATTAGCTCGTTGTGTTTCAGTAGGTTGAGAAAGTATATGAACAGATACTACAATGTAATAGAGCTAGTAGCATTCAAAAAAAAAAAAAACTTGTTTAACTTCTAAAAGATGTCTACTTACTGCAGCTTGAAGTTGGAAAATCGGTAAGCAAAATCCAACCAACCAATGATAACAAACCTAATGCTTTAAGGAAAATATCGCCCAAAAAAATTTGAATACATATTTGTTAATAGTGTTTAGTTGAGCGGGAAAACAGATCATTTCTATTGGCAAAATCCTGTAGCTTTATTAGTATAAGAGATAAGAGATAAGAGATGACCATTGTATGATAGAGTAACAGATAATAAAATGACAAAGTCCCTACACATTAACATGACAACTTTAGGTAACCTGGGGCCTGGGTGTGGTTGAGTGGAAGAGACTCATTCATCCTTAACCAAAGGTCAAGAGTTCGATCCTTGGATTTGGGTATCGAGCAGCCTTAAATCTCCAGGCCAGCTGACCCACCTAATAGAGGTGCCTACAATTCAGCGAGGGGATTAGTCACTTTGTCCGATGGTAGAAACCCTGAGCTACACCCAAAAAAAAAAAAAACATGACAACTTTAGGTAAAAACCAGTTTCCAACTGCAAAATAATCTTCCAACACTGCAAGGGTAGAAGTACAAACCATGTAAGGTAATTTGTTGCCCAACCCTTACTTCCTGTGTGGCGCATATTTCCCGTTCATTGTTGATCAAACTTCTATTCAGGCTCTGCCAACAAACTTCATCAGCACTTTATTATGCCAATCATAGAGTACAGGGTCAGATTAATTGAAAAGAAATTTGTAGAGAAATAGAGAGTATTTTGTAATTACTTCATTGAAAGCCTTACCCTGGTAACCTTGAACAAGTTCGACAGAGCAGTAAGTCTTTGCAAATTTGGTTGGTGGGTTTTGCCCATAGAAATGGGTATGAAAGTGATTGTTGTTGTTTGGTTGATAGATTTTTTGAACACTGCTATGGGTTTCGAATACCCCATCAATTAAAAAACCCATACCCAAATAAAATAAGGGTTTCATTCCCTTATTCATTCTCAAGCACTACCATTAATAACCATTCCCATTCCACCCTATTACCAAACATGTTAAATATTTTCACCAAAACCCATTACCATTACCGAGTATTTGATACCCATTCCGATTCCGATTCCTATGTGCGAACCAAACACACCCTTAGTCTTTCCAAATAAACCTGGCCTTGAAAAATCATGTATTATCAAAAAGAATGGGCAGGGAAAAAGAGCTTCATAATTAAAATAATAAATAAATCTATTACAGCAAAGACAGAAAGTTACCATAGCATATTTATCTGATGAAATATGTCATATAGCACCTGGGAAAACATTCAACTTGGATGTAAATTAAAAGTAGAAGACTTACAGTATACCCAATAAGGACAACAGTTACAGGAAACCGGATAGATTGATCTTGAAGAATGGGAAAGAAATGACAGGGTTTAAGCACTTAGAAACCAGAGCTAAAATAGAACTATCTAAAATTCACACAACCTTGATAAAGAAAGTGTTCCTGACAATAGAATTAAATGCTTGATATTTGTTGCAACATCAAGAACAGCTTTTATCTCCCAAACTACAAAGAGAACTAAGTAGCAATACTACAATCATTTATAATGCTTCCCAGCAATCAGCAGAAAGAAATCAAGCAATTTGTCACAACAGAACTGCCTGCCATTGACTTTGATTCATTTCCCAGAGCATATTTTCTCAGTTGTCTCTCAATTTCAGCATTTCTGTCTAGGTATAGGAACCCCAAGGTCACAGTCCCAATTCCTTGAATTCAAGTTTAGACAATCCTATCCTATATGATATAAAATGGTAGACATGGGGTAACCCCAGCCAAAATGGCTAAGCATACAAACTCGTAACCACAAGGCCATAGAGCCGATCAGCTATGGGCAATCTAGGCTGGTTTACCTCCTTGTAGTCCTTTGGGCAATCTAGGCTGGTTTACCTCCTTGTGGTACTTTGTCGGCTAGAGTCATAAGGCGGGGTTTACCCAGTAAACACCATCTCATAGCTGGTTTATCTCTTTGTGGTCCTGGCTAGGGTCACAAGGCGGGATTTACCCAGTACACACCCTCGGGTAGTGACTGTGGTTTCCCTCATCAACCATAAAAAATGGTAGACATGATAATAAACAGCAATTAGAAAAGCTATCTTAAGAACTTCTCTAGGTCTGGGTGATTAGCTCAAAGTGATTCAATTACATGAAATCCAGTATAATAGCAAATAGTAAAGATTGACAGTAAAAACAATGCAAGTTAAAAAGGAGAGACATACACAAAGAACATGGCATGAATTTATTTGTCCAGCTTCTGAATGAGGAGGATTTACCAATCATCTAATACACTAACAAATCCCCAATAAAGGACTAGAGGAAGGTAGGTGGGGATCTCTCTCATATCCATTGCTGGAATTTGAAAGTGGAAAGAACATTAGATTCTTGAATTGGAAAAAGAATCAATTACAAATGGATCCATTCTTGCTGACCAGCCTAGCACCAACCCTATCAAGCCTTTTCACCATAGCCAAGGCCTTGAGATTCCCTTCCTGGATAAAGGCTTCTACCATTCTTTTACCAATCTCCATTCCCTTTTCCTCATCATCCGTAACCGCGACTGCAGTGGGTCCCGCACCGCTGATGGTGCACCCGAAGGCTCCGGCCTGAATAGCCGCCTTCTTCACGGCCTCCATCCCAGGAATCAACGGAGCTCTTCTCGGCTCCACGATCTTATCCGATGAAAGCGCCTTCCCCAGGCCCGGCAAGTCTCCTTGCAACACAGACGCCACCAGAGCCCCGGCCTGACTGCAGTTCCACACGTGGCTCGACATCGTTATCTCCGCCGGCAGCGCCGCCCTCATCTTCTTCGTCGGAGCTTCGAATTCCGGGTTCACCAGGACGAAGAAGAGGCTCTTTTCTTGGGGGAACTTTAATTGGATCAGCTCCAACGGGTCGTAGCTACGAATGAGCACAAACCCTCCCATGATAGACGGCGCCACATTATCCGCGTGGTACCCGGAGACCTTGGATTCCGATTCTAGACCCGCGAAGACAAGGTCCGAGACGGACAATCGGCTGCCGAATAGCTCATTCACTGCGACGGCGGCCGCGGCAGCGCTGGCGGCGCTGGACCCTAATCCACTCCCCAAGGGCAACCCCTTCTCAAGGGAGAGGGAGAGCCCTACGGATTGGATGCGAAGCATCTTCATAACAGCAATGGCGGCAATACCGGCACAGTTCCAGAGCGGATTCTTGCTGAGCTTATTCCCCGCCCCGGAGATTTCAGAAATGGACACTTGCCCGGGAGGAACGTCCGGATCAACGCGGACGGTGACGAAATCGCCGATGCCATCGACGGCGCAACCGAGGAAGTCGAAGCCGGGGCCAAGATTAGCGACGGTGGCCGGAGCAAAAGACTTGACGGAGGCGTAAACCGGTTCTGGGTCAGAAACGGCGAGGGTGGAAGAAGTAACTGCAGAAAACAGTGGGCCGCATCGGCTAATATTAAGAGCGGGTAAACAAAGCGGAGGGTTGGGATGTCTTGTAGAAGAGATAGAGATAGAGGGGTTCAGTCTATTGAGATTCAGTGAAGATGGCGGCTGATAAAAGGTAGCCGCCATTGTAGATGAGTTGAGTGAGAGTGCTTGGGTTTGAACTTTGAAGGGGATTTGAAGGCTTAAACGGCGATTTCCTCAAAGCTTTGAAGCGTAATAACGTTTTCGCTGCTCAGTCGTACGGACTAAATATACTAATCTGTGAAATGGAAGTGAGAGTACTAATAATTAATAAATCATAAATGTTTCTCCATTGTATATTAAGGGGTCGTTTGGTTCACAGAATCTCAGATTACCTTAGCGAATGTTAGATGGCTGTGAATGTTAGATGGCTGGGAATGTTTAGTTAAAATTGGGGTATGTAATATAATCATGTTTGGTTTAGGTTATCTTTTATACACACTATAATATCCTTAACATATTTTTATATATTTTAATAAATTTAAAAATTAAAATAAATAAATAAGATAACGATATCATATATAATTACATGATTTTAAAATATTAACTAAAATCTTGAACTTGAGAAATAAAACTATTTTATATGCTAACATAAAATAATAAAAAATATATATATAATTACAAATATATATATATATATATATATATATATATATATATATATAAACCAACATAACCAATGTTATCTTACATTACCTAAGATTTTGAAGGGAATCACATTCCCTTTAAAATCCTATGTGGAGGGAATGTGACATTCCTTGGGAATGTTAGATTCCCTAAGATAATATGAACCAAACACCGGAATGTGAACTTTGGAATGTCACATTCCCTTGGTTATGTTATATAACCTGAACCAAACGTCCCCTAAATGTTTAACAGTAAAAGATATTTTTTGTCCTATACTTATAGGACTAGACAATTTTAATTCTCCATAACAAATATTATTAATTTTTTGCCATACTTATTGTGACGAGGACAATTTTGATCTTTCGTAAAAATTTTCATCTGTTGACGGTCTAAATGAAGGACATTTCTGTCATTTAATGTGTTATTTCTCAAGCGCAGAAGAAAGTGCGTTGTAGAAAATAATTAGTGTGTCACAACCGACTTCCTTCGCAAAATAAACAAGTGATTCTTGAGAGTTTGATCCCCTCACATAATGCAACCCTTTCAAAAATGAAGGCAAAAAATTCAATGTAATTAAGGGAGTGTTTCCTCCATTTTAACAACTGCATATAATATTGAAAGCTTTGTATATATGAAATAGGTACGGGCGAGTCTATGACACACAGATATAGGAGCTTTGTATATATGAAAGCTTTGTAATTTCCAATGCTTGCTTATTGAATACTATATTCTCATTGATGGTTTTATTATCTTGTTAAAGGCTGTGGGATCATCTTAGTTCAAATTTAAACTTGTACATTCAACAACAGGAAGCCCATCTTGATGGAGTGATCGGTCAAAGAAAGACCTGCCAGTGTGGAGCATGCTGTGAAGTTTGAATCTGACAGACCAAGATCCCGCCATAAAAGGGAATGGAAAGGCCTGCTGAGAGACACAGAGATGAACACCCAACTCTGCAGGGTGTTGTGGTGGATACTACTCGCCCACAGATGGAAAGTCAGCATAAACTTGCACGTACAACACAGTCCATATCTCCCAACTCCAAGCCAGAATCTCTATATTATTTTACTTTTAATCCATATTATAATGTACATCCGCACCAGCAGCTAGAGGATTTCCTCGGCGGCAGTGTTGGTTAGCTACTCCGACAGCCAAACAGAGACTCAAGACTCGTCGCTCACCCACATCTCCACCTCCACCTCTGCGGCGGCCTACTTTAACAACCGACAAGATCTGCAGTTCATACCTGGAATTCAAACCTTATCCACAAACTCCGGCTCCAACGTCGACTCCGCCTCTGTCCCCCGGACTCAGGCCATCGCCACCGTCGAGTTCACCCGCTATTCCATTGAATCTGCCCTCCGCTACTCCCAACGCCCCACGTCCCCCACCGAAGCTCTATCTCTCGCTGTCAACCCCCAGACTACCAAAAATGTCATTGTTTTCGTTGACTCGACAACCCCAAGAAAATCCCCGACACCTTCAGAAAATGGAGACGATGAGAGAAATCAGAGAACCAAAGAGATTAATTAGGGATTTCAATTTATAATATAAATCTTCTTATTATCAGATTTTTTTTTTTTATTGAAATCAAGAACAAAACACGCAGAGATATAATATATAGAAGGAGATAGGTTGAATTGACGCAAATATCCCTTCTCAAACGGTTAACAGACGAAAATTTTGAGGGAGGATAAATATTGTCTACCATAAGTGTGGCCATAAATTGGCAAATTTTTTTTATAGAGGACTAAAATTGTCCGTGCCATTGGCGGTGTTTAATTATTTATTTATTTATTTCATTAGTTTGTATGATAGAAAAGATAATATTACCCATGTTAAAATGAGGAGTAAAATTTTTTGGCAAAAATTGAACAAAAAATGCATCGGAAGGACCAAATTTTCTAATAAAGTCATAATCGTGGACCAATTCTACAAGTTTTAAAAGTCGTGGATCAAAGTTGTTAGTGACACTATAGTCGTGAGACAGAAAGTGCAAAAAACTCTTATTATATAAATGCCCATTATCATGCCCATTATCGAGGATCAATCACATGATTTATAACACGTTATCAGCACGCGTACTTTGTTTATTCTTGGTGAGAGGATTAAACACCGCCCTTACAATTTGGTGTTCTTGTTGAGAGGATAAAAAGTACGATACTTAGTGAAAAGAGAGAGAGAGAGAGAGAGAGAGAGAGAGAGAGAGAGAGATACAGCGAAGCAGGATGTCAGAATCATCTGATCTTCCAGTAACCATGCAAAATCTTAAGCAGATGTTTGATGAAATGCCAATGGAAGGACCAATTCCAATCCTTCATGGGCTCGATGGAAGCAAAGTCACAAGCTCAACATGAGAAAGCTAAAGCAGTGCAGGAGCAAGAGTTTGAGGCGTCCACACCACACTCCCAACGTCACCAAATATTCCGGGCAACTCCTGGGACCACCCCTACTGATGAAGGTTCTTCGGAGGGTAATGCCTTCGTACAGAAACACAGTAGCATGAGGCTTGATATCCCAAAATTTGGAGGAGCTGACCCATAACAATGGATCTTCAACATACAGGAATATTTCAATTTCCACCAAACTCCGGAGACCCAACGGTTGCAAATTGCTGGGTTCTGCTTGGAGGGAGATGCCTCGAAGTGGTTTCGTTGGATGAAATGAAATCGCATGATTTTTGGGTGGCACGATTTCCTGGAAAAGGTTGAACTCCGATTTGGTACCACGCATTTTGAAGATCCTCTGGCCGAACTAGCCAAACTTATGCAGACAGGAACTGTAGTAGACTTCCAAGCGGCGTTTGAGAAATTACTCAACAAGGTGACAGGAGTGTCGGAGACTCAATTGGTTTCCTATGTCATTGGAGGGCTGAAACCGAACATACGAAAGGAGTTATTATTAACCAAACCAAGGTCCATTCTAGCAGCTTTCGAGTTGGCCAAAGCTCATGAAGCTCGCTATAATGAATTAATGGCTGAATGTCGCACGACCTACCGCGGGAACCCAAGACCTCCTACCATTCAAGAAGAAAATCGTTGGCAACCCAGAGGCATTCCGCACTCACGAAGGGCATTATGAATTCTTGGTCATGCCCTTTGGTCTCACGAATGCGCCATCTACTTTTCAAGTAGCCATGAATTCTATCTTGGGTCCCTTCCTGCGGAAATTTGCAATTGTCTTTTTTGACGATATATTGATTTATAGCTCATCAATGGGGGATCACGTTGCACATGTGCGTGAGGTGTTCCGTTGTTTGCAAACTAATCATTTTTATTTGAAGTTATCCAAATGTGATTTCGGTCGAGATTCTATCACATATCTTGGGCACATCATTCATCAGGGGCAGCTTCAAATGGATCCCAAAAAAATTGAAGCAATTCTCTCTTGGCCAGTGCCGATGAACGCCAAACAATTGCGGGGGTTCCTTGGGTTAGCTGGTTATTATCATTGCTTTATTAAAGGATTTGCTGACATTGCAACTCCACTTAAAGACCTGCTAAAAAAATATGCTTTCAAGTGGGGTCCCGAAGCTGATAATGCCTTAAAATATCTCAAGGCTGCATTGGCTTCTAGTCCTGTTTTGAGTCTACCCGATTTCACGAAGCCTTTTGAAGTGGAAGTAGATGCGTCGGGCATTGGTTTGGGGGCGGTTCTCATGCAAAAAGGTCATCCTATTTCTTATTTTAGTAAGAAAATGGATGGGAAATGGCAATAAACATCGACATATCTAAAGGAATTATAGGATTTGACCGCAGCCATCCAAAAATGGCGCCACTGTTTACTTGGGAGTTCCTTTCTTGTTAAGACAGATCATTTTAGTCTTAAAGAACTCCTATCCCAAAGGGTTCACACCCCTGGCCAACAAAAGTTTATCCACAAACTCATGGGATATGATTTTCGGATCGAATACAAACCCGGGAAAACAAATGTAGCTGCGGATGCTTTATCCCGGTTGCATGAGGGTGCTTCTGTAATGATGGTTGCTAGTTGGCCTGTGTTAGAATTCTTGGAGATACTGAGGAAAGAGAACCAAGAATTAGAGGACCTTAAGGCTCTCCATCAACACATGTATGATAACACATTACCAGTAACTTTCTCTCGCTGGAATGGTATTCTATTTTATTGCAAACGCTACTACATCAGCTTCCACTCATCCTTAAAATCCACCTTATTGCGGGAATTTCACGCGTCCAAGGTGGCGAGGGCATTCCGGCGTCAAACGTACTTTGGTCCGATTGTCCGCGCTGTTTTTTTGGCAGCACATGAGACGAGATGTGGAAGATTTTGTTGCCTCGTGTTTTACTTGTCAACAAACTAAGTTCTTAACGAGCGCACCCGCTGGTTTGCTACAACCATTGCCAATCCCGGACTCGGTGTGGGACAAGCTCACAATAGATTTTATTATTGGGCTTCCACCTTCGCAGGGATATACTTCCATAATGGTGGTGGTCGATCGACTCACGAAATATGCTCATTTTGGCGTATTACCCACCCATTTCACAACCAAGAAGGCAGCTCAACTGTTCATTGATATTGTTGTCAAACACCATGGGTGTATCATTTCCGCCCCCATTAAAATCACATTGTCCTCAAGGTGATGG